CTCTGAATTCGTATCATCCTTCTCTGTGTAGCCCGGTGGGAAAGGCTAGGTGGGCTGGAGTCCGGCCTGAGTAGGTTAGTTCATCCTGTCACCCTGCCAGCAGCTCGGAAGCTGGAGTTGACCTGGGATAGGGTTCCACCTCGCCAAAGTCACTGAGTCCGGTCTTGAAACACGTGGCTCAGTTTTAGTACAGGCCCCACACTGTCAGATTGCCCAGGCTCCTTCCCTGAGGTGTGGCACAAATGCCTGTCCCCAGGCAGCAGCCCCAGACAACACTCCCCGTGGGCTTCTGTGACCTCTGCATAGAGCAGAGTTCAGCTGAGCACAGCAGTTCTGTCACACGTCTTGCTAATTCAGACTGGGCAGGGCATTAGTCATTAAGCACTGGTAAGTGACCAATTTGCCATCACAGCTGCTTTGCAGCCCTATTTGAATGCAGAACATGGACTTTCAGACCCACGTAGCAATACAATTTGCAGTTTCCCGCGGTAATATCCACTTTGCCACCAGACCCCCTTAATGACCAATTTGGACAAGAGATCATTGGCAAGTTCTGGTTCCTCCCTGGACAACTTAGGAGAAGCAAATGCCATTTAATTCCAGGGAATGACTTTCTCCACCCATGTGAACATCTACCCTCCTCTATGCTGACTTGGAAGCCAGAGCAGGCATTTTCACAGGCTGCCTTTTCCCCCTTGGTGCCAGTTATGAAATGATGGGGACTAAAAAGAAAAAAAGGCAGCAATCTGGAGAATGAAGAGAGAAATAAATAAAATTATCAGCCATTCACAATGTTAATAAAAAGATTCCCGTTTTGACCGGCATATTACTTGAGTGGAGGGGGAAAAAAAGGTGCATTTTCTAAGGACTGGAATGAAATTTCCACACTAAGAAGGAAAACCTGCTTTGCAGTTGGAGAGCTAGAAGACAGGAAAATAGTGACCACAATTCCTTCTGTTCTCCCCTTTCCCCAAGACATACGAGAAAGGTCGCTATCTTTAACTCAGACCCGTCTTGGAAGGTGAGCTTTCTACCAAGAAGAATTCATCAGGTAATGTGTGTTCTCCCTTGAGACGTGATGCTGCACCGTGGTGAAAGCTGGGGTGGTGGAACTGAACCATTGCTCCTCTGGTCAGGGAGTTTAGAGACTTCTGGTCGTCACATCGGGCAGGGCAGTGAGAGGTCACTGACATCTAGTGAGCAGAGATCGGGAATGCTGTCAGACAAATGCGAAGGACAGTCCCCTCTCCTTCCCCCTACCAAGAAGGAAAGATCCAGAACAAAATAGCCATGGTGCTAAACAAAGCAGATCTGAATTGGATTGAGCCAGTTCATAAGCCAGCCTTCCCCCTTGAAAGCACTATGATTCGGGAACATACTCCTTATCTCGCCAAGCTTTGGTTTCTTGCTCCTAGAGAGAGGCGTGTCAGTGAAATTCCCTCATTGGAATCATTGTGAATGGAACAGGCGATAATGAACGTCAAGGGCTCAGTGTGATTCCTGGCAGCATGTACGTGCCTTGCACGTGGTAGGTTCTTTAAAAATATTCGTTGAATGAGATCATCAGACTTTTCTCACCAAGCTAATGAAATTCTAGCACACAGCAAAAAAATTTCAAGTAATCAAATTCTATAGCCTTCCCAAGGGTTAGTGTGTCCTGTCCAAAAGGCTCTGAATTATGGACAAGAGCTTTCAGGTAATGTTATTCCCTTTATTCCCCTAGAGGATCGGAAACAACCATTTTATCTAACTGGAATTAAGGCCAGAAAGGACTCGTTTTCTACACAATAATCCTTGTTCTTATGATATTCTAACAGACACTAGTGACTGTTCGTATGAAACTGGTGGGGCCAAGAGCTCACGGAAACCATCGCACCCATGTGTTCAGAGCCCTGTGTTCGGCCTGCATCCAGTCTGCATGGGTGTTCAGCAGGGCCCCGACTGTTTGATTTGGGGTCCTCGTGTCCACATGCTCCTCTCGTGTTAAAAAGAAAAGCTAACTTCTGAACAACCTGTGAAGACACCTGATTCTCTGAGGAAGTTGAAGGGTATCTGGAAAGGCTGTTCACTGTAATGTGATTTATTACAGAAGAAAAAATTGGCAACATCAGAAATGGCCAACAATAGGGAACTGATTAAACCATATTGTATAGCAATTAAAATCGCATGTCTGATCATTATTTATTACATAGGTAAATATTCCTTATATATTTATGAATGAAAATTATATTCATTATAATCTGCATTTCTTAAAGGTTATATTTAGAGAGATCTAGAAACATAAGTAAAATGTAGATATAAGTAGGCAATAGGACACTGAAAGGACAGAAAAAATATGAGAGAGAAATATAGATGAGCAGAGAGCTAAATATTACTAGTAGTTATTTTGGAATGATGGGATAATAGAATATGTTGCTTTATTCTTTAGATGTTTGGTAATTTTCAAATTTCCTACAAAATAGGCACTCATTACCTTTAAAAATCAGTAAAAAAATTAAGGCATCACAATTACTGTTAGTCAAAGATAGAGGCAAACCTCATGTAATTGCGCTTCCTTTTAGTGCGCTTCGCAGATACTGCATTTGTTACAAACTGAAGGTTCGTGGCAACCCTGCATACAGCAACTTTATTGGCTCCATTTTTCCAACAGAATTTGCTCACTTCGTGTCTCTGTGCCACATTTTGGTGAGCTGTGATCAGTGATTATGGTTCACTGAAAGCTCAGGTAATGGTTAGCCTTTTTTAGCATTAAGGTGTTTTTAAAGGTACATAGGTTGTTCTTTTAGACACAATGTTATTTCACACTTAATAGTTACAGTATGATAGAAACATAACTTTTCCGTGCAGTGGAAAAGCAAGAAATTCATTTGACTTGCTTTATTGCAATAATTTGCTTCCTTGTGGAGGTCTCGAAGAGAATCCACAGCATGTCTAAAGCATGCCTGTAGTCACACATGAACATGGAGTTACAGAATATATGTACATATATCACATCCTTTCTTTTTACAAGCACTTGGGATAAGGTATGTAAGTCATTTCCGAGAAAGGAAGGAAGTGAGGAGGAAAGACAGAGAGTGGTGACACAATGAAAAGACAAAACACCAAAACCAAAGTGCTTACAGCCAGAATGCACACCCGTCCTGGCTGCCCTGGTTACGGCTGTGTCACCCTTGGCAAATAATTCGGCCTCATAAAAAACAAGAATGGCACTTTTTTACTTTACAGTTAAGACAGAATGAGAATCTGAGAAATGCTAAGTAAAATGGGAAGTCTTGCACACCAGTTAAACAATCAATTTTTGTGGCAGAAGCACTGCTTCTTGAAAACAGTGTAGTGGCAAAACCTTGAGTTTACAGAATGAGACCTGGGTTCAAATTCTGACTGTTTTTTTCATGGTGGGATCTTGGTCTGGTCATTTAGTTGCTGTAGGTTTCAGTTTCCTTATTCAAAATATTTGGTCTTTATCATCATCTAATTAAGTGTTGTAGGTTCAATGGCACAGTATATACAAAGAACTATGTACTTTAAAACACATAGCTTACATTTTTACTTTCAGGCTAGAGATGCTATTTCTGAAATGAGGAAGTATGATAACTATGGTTAACATGCATATTGGCAATCCTCAGAATAAAAAAAGCACAATATTTCATATATATGTGAATATATATATAATGTTATATAAGTAACCTCTTGATCAAATAATAAGTCTAAATATAATTTAGCACAAAGCTCTTGAGATACTGTGATTGTATTTTCTGTATAGAAAATTGCTATTTAAAAAATTAAAATTAGGAAAGATTTTCTAAGACTTACACAAATGATTGTGTGAGCAGCTATATGATATACGAGAAACCCAGATAGGCTCTGAAAGTCTAAGACAAGGGACGGATGACACAAGATGGGCTTTGTCCAAACACTGGAAGGAGAAATACAACAGGCAGAAGTTCATGGGGAAACCAAAATAAAACTTGAATTTGTGATAATCATATAAACTCTTGGATATGGAGGTAGGGAAATAATAATAATGTCTGGCCTCCCAGGCAGAAAACACAACTCCTCCCTATCATGAGTGAGCAACTGGGCTGTGCCCACAGATATTTTAAAAGCTCAGTAACAATGTTAAGTATAAACTGGTGTCCTACTTGCATGAGGCCAGGGTGTAAAATAGGTCACTCTTATTTCAAATGTTCCTATTAAATGTCATGAGACTCCAGGTCATAAGGCACTCCTTTTTTTAGGAAAATCTCCAGAATTGCCTGGGTATTTTTAGTGCTCTAAGGTTACCCTGGAGGCTTTCAACTCATATTGGGGCAGAAAATCAGAAATGCCCTTGGTGCTGGAAGAATCTACCACCCGCCAAGCTGGTGCTTCCAAGCTGGTGCCCCATTTGATGCATCTGACCCCGAGATGCTTGCTCTAGGCCACACCTAAGAAGCTGGCGTGGCTCACTGGAGCAGGCACAGCAGTTCTTCAAGCTGAGACGTAGAGCAATCTTTCCCACAGAAGCTGCTTCTGCACAAACACGCCACACTGCCACCCCGTAAACCATGAGCCACATTTCCCTTTTAATGGCACCGTCTCTGCAAGTCCTGGACTGCTGGTTGTCCCTCCTGCTGTCCCGTGGTACTTGTTTCAGGAGCCTCCTCACCTCTCTTCCAGGAAGCCTCAGAGCCTCCCCGGACTGACTTAGGTTGTACCAAGTCCCCACGAAGTCCGCCAATCAAGTTTTAATCACTGAATCTTGTGATGAAGGGGTTGGGATTCCTGTTTTCTCAAAGGATGTTAGTTCTATTATTTCAATTTGTTCACCCACCTCCATCTCCTTCCCCCATCGATAACCACCAAGTTCCACACATCAGCTGTTTCTCTCACAGAAGCAGCATGTGCCTCACTGGACATTTCCTCCCAGTGGAATCAGAAAAGCTATGTGTTCAGTGACCACAAAACAAGGGGCAGGAAGCGCAGAGAGGGAGCACGGCCTGCACGGGCTGAAGCGACGAGGCGGGTTTCCTAAGGAGAAGCAGGCTGAACGGAGCAGTAAGTGCAGGCAGGCCTGGGAGCGGCCACAGGAGACACTGTTAGGGTATGTACGGGGGCCTTCTCATTAGGGGTATTTTCAGAACCAGGAAAAAATTCACTGTGAGGAGGATCCAGTGAGGTGAGTAGGTCAAGATGAGACTAGAAATGCTATTTTTTCCAGGCTGGTCCAACCACCTTCCTGGAATAGTCACAGAATCATTCCTGGATTACAGAAATCCCCATTCCATCCCCACCCCTTGGAGCTAAGTTTTTCTGATACCCCTCTCAAGAAGTGGGGACCTGGAGTTCTAGTCCAGGACCAGACGGCCCGTCGGGACCAACCCTGGGCCACCTGGGGGGTGCTGAAGGAGGAAGGGCCAAGCAGGAACTCCCAGAAACACTGAGAAGAGCTCCCAGCTCCCCATCAGCCTCCAGGGGAAGGGAAGAAGGCAGCCAGGTGGGAGGCAGTGGGACAGAAAGCAGACAAATGCGGACACAACTCGAAGCAGCGGTAGATAGAAGGCCTGGAGAGGTGAGGCTGAGAGCTGAGGGGAATCTGCACATTACTAGAGCCAGCTGCCCAGGTCCCGGGAGAAAGGTACGGAAGGACCTGGAGCTTTCTGAGGAGTTACCTTGAAGGATCCCTTCAGCTGTGCCTTAGTTGACCTTGACCCAGCTTTCCTTTTCGAGGGGGCGGGAGCAAAACAGTAACAGAGGAAGGCCCCCTGTTCACCACCAGGCATATGTCTGCTGGACCCTTCCCATGGCATCTCAGGGAAGTGATTTACAGAACAACTGCACCAAGCCTCCCCCTTCTCCCAGCAGGCCTGTATCCTATGAATCAATCACCCGAGACCAGAGAAGGAAAAGCCTTGTCTAAGAAATCTACGAACCCAGGTCTGCAGGAGCAATTTTCTTCACAATATACCAGGTGCAAATTTTTTTCCACTAAGCCTATTTTTTTCTTTCTGCTGCACGAGATGAACTTGACCAACATTTAAACTTTGTGAATAACTTCCTGAACCCCCCACTCTGTGCTCCTATTTGTCACTGAGTCCATTTAGAGGCCGAATCTGTGAATTCAATTTATTCCCCCTAGCACCACGGGAAGGGCAAGCAGACATTAATCTAAAAAAGTCTCAAGCAGTACAAATACACTGACATGTACAGGCGGCAGTCTGTATGGACCATAGCTGGAGTGAATGACAGGTGTTGGCAAAGTGACAAGTGACGCTGTGTAGCAGACTGGGGCTTTGCGACAATCTTAGGGCACTTACTTTACCCGTGTACCATGCCGTTGTGGGTTTTGTTGCTTGTTTTTGGTTTTGTTATTGTGCTTTTAATTTTAACAATTTTTGGCTTTTATTTCAACAAGTACCATTTGGTTTGTTTCTATAATTCACCTTTCGTTATGGTATCCAGGTACTTTCATTAAGGTTTTTATTTTTTAATATCTTTAATCACTTTTAACATGTAATTTTATGGTTTCTTTCAGATTGTTCTGTATTCATTCCTATGTTGCAAATGTTTTTATAGTTTTGGCTGGCCGTGCATTATAGTGGTCCATTTTCTCAAATGGTGTGTAGTGTTGTCACATAAGGTCTCTTCAACAGTGTTGAGTATTTCTGTGCGGGTCCCATACACCATGGGTAGTTAAAGCATTCCTACAGAAGACTCACATCTGTGTCTACCGTTGGCTCAGGGCTTGGAATTCTCTTGTACTACATTTTATGATAACCTTCCTGTGCCTTTATCAACTGTGTGCATTAGACACCAGGCCTGATTTCTTAGTAGAACCTCGTACCTCCATCCAGGGCCTTGGGAAGATGCGAAGCTTCCTTGCATCTGCAGGCCCATACATGTAGTTTTTCTAGTATGTTCCACTGAAACACGGACCTTTTCTAGATCCTGTCTTTTTACAGAGATTCAAGCTTCTCATCTCCATTTGTCCCAAATCAAAATCTACAGTGTCTGTGTGAGCCACCGGCTTCCAGGGCCCACACCTGATCGCTACTTCCCTGGGTTGTCATGGTGCTGATGTCTGCAATTCAGGCTTTGCATTGCCTCCTGGCTCCTGGTGTTAAAATGCCTTTTCTCCCTTTGGAGCATGCCTCGGTGTTTCTAAGAATTGTCCTGTGGTTTGCCCCCAAGTCCTCCCGTGGATCTCGAGGAGGGGCTGCATCACCCGCATCTGCAGTGTGACCTTGCTTTTCCCCCCACCCCTGCCGATGCTCTTCTCAAAGCATGCTCTGTTCCGCGCTGACGACCCTGTCGCTCATCCGAGCATGCCTCAGTCATGTTTTCCTCCACTCCTGCAGCTTTCCTGTGTGCCCTCCTTTTCACATATTGCCCATTTCCCATGCAGAAATACAGCTTTTACTTCCATGATCTACCTTCATATCCATCTTGGGCTCACATTCCAACCTATCCCAGAAAAGTAAACCTTACCAGTTTAAGGAAAATTCAGTCACTTCCCATTTCTTTTCTCTATTTGCCAGTAAGTTCAGATTTTTTCCCCTTTCCTGTCTCCTCCCCTTTGGTCTGACCCAGAAGCCCTCTTGGTTGGCTTGTTTCACATGACGTGTGGAAGAGGGTCTTCTTGCTCAGGGCAGCAGGCCCCCCGCTGGCACCCCTCTGCGTGTCACCCAGCCCCCGCTAGTCCCCACTCACTGGCCTTTAGACCCCCTGCAGCCATGTCCATTGTTCGGTCACGATCTTTGGGACGTGTGTGACCCATGTCACACCTAGAAAAACCATCCCATGGCCCTTCTCTCCACGAGCAGGGAACAAAGGCTTAGGACATTGGGGGAACCTGTGATGCCCCCCCTCATGCCACGCTGGGTACCCCTGCGGGTTTTCCTGCTCCAGGGCCAGGCAGGATGGGAGGCTCCACTGAGCTGCTAGGCTGGATACTATGAAAGCAAGACATAAGCGCCCCGGCTTTTGGACCCCCCCACATTGAGCTCTCCTCAGTTGCTTCATTTCTGGGGGAGAATTGGAACTGAGCAGAGGGGGCAGAAAACTTCTCACACCCAGGCTAACTCTTGCTTGCATCCAATTTTTTGGGACAAATCCTACTTGTGCAATTAATCCATGAAGAATTTGAATTCGTCTTCCCTGGGATACAGGTGGGACATGGAAGAGAAAAAGGATCATTTAGAAAAAGGATGTTCTATGAAATCCTATCATTTGGAGAAATACTGATGTTAATTGCTTCAAATTTTGTCTCCTAATGATTAGAACTAAAATGTGAAACTCAAAGCTATGCTAAATGTCTTTCTTTCTGACTTTCTCTAACGAGGACCCTGCTGGTAGGGGCAGAGGGAAAGGGAAAGTAGGAATTTCTAAATCACATGATCTAATTGCAGATACCACTCTCAATGCTCCTGCACATATATACCATATTAGTGTGTGTGTGTGTGTGTGTGAGAGAGAGAGATAACGGTCTCCTCAAAGAGAACCTCAGGAACATCCTAATCTTGAAATAGTGAGTTCTGATAGAAAGACTCTGGGGGTCAGTCTAACCAAAGCTCAAGCTTCAGTTCAGTTTCCACACTAATGAATTCAATCACTATGGGCATTGGGACAAGTCTATCTATTTTAAATTTAAAAACAAACTCTTTTTCCTTTCTATATTAATTTCCCAGTAATGTATAACATGAGTGTAGAAACAGGTGTCCCATGAATATAGCAACATGTATACTCATTAACTAAATGCAGATTTGGTTCTTTTTAGTTGCCTACTACCCCTTCCTTAATCACTGGGGCATCCTTGGCCTTCCTGAAGGCCAGTCCTCACCGGGTATTGGCGAGGCACTGAAGGTCAGGGAGGAGGCGAGGAGCTCTACTGCATACATGATCTCATAACATCTTTTCCTTAGATTAATTTAAAGTGAATTTTATTTTAAATGGTTAAATAGGTGTGCATATTAAATATTAAAATGCCCAGAGAATGAAAGCAGCCTTGTCCTTCCAAACATCCACTATGATTGTTTTATTCTGTACTTTAAAACTGATTAAATGAGAGTGAATAATAGTTCTCATTCTCCATCTAAACTTTTTTCACTGATGTTTAATTTGATGGCATTTTATGTAACATTGGTATCTTAAACTGTTTTTTTAGTTACTACAGAATGAGCATTCATATTAATATTATAAGTGAACATGTTATTGTATGGATTTAAAACTTGTAATGAACCTTATAAATAATTGGTGATAATTCTTTCCCTAGGAATTGAACTAATGAAGCAAATTAGGAATAATAACCACTGGCTTGTATAGGATGAACTGGATTCATTACAGATACCACTGCACTGACCTCTGACCTGGACTGGGAAGGGTAGGTATGATTACACCCTCTGTACCTAACAAGGATTGGAAACTCAGTCATTTTGAGGTGCTCGCCCCAAATCCCACAGTTCATAAGGCATGGAAACAAGATTTGAACCCAGATGCATTGCTCCTCTGCTTTTTTTCCAACTGGCTAGCCTTCCTAATGAAATCCATACGTCTGAGCTGAGCAGGGGAGTTGTTTCTCGTATCACCAAGTCTGATCCGTTCCTTGCATTTTCCCCGAGTGCTTCCACCACCTTGGTAAGGAGAATATGAAGGCTTCCACCCCCTCATGCACCTCTCCAATGTAAAGTGGGCTCTGCGCCTCCATCCTGTCGAAAACAACAGCAGTCCAGCCAGTGTCTGCAAATGGTTGCACTGCTGAAGAGATCATCCCAGCGCCCTAATGGTGTGAAAGCAATTTCACAACCACCTATATCTGAGATTCACACGCCATCCATTAGGCAGTCAGTCGGAGAGAGAACCCCTAACCACCCCTTGCTGTATAGACTGCTGCAATTAGGAACAAAATGGATGTGATGAATTCCATATCTTGCAAGGAAGTCAGCTTTCCCTGGAAAACCTGTTTGCAAATGGTACCATGCTTCTGCGTTTTTCCACTTTGTGAGTTTACCGCATCTGCTCCTTAAATATAACAGCACATATGGTACCATCGTTTTGCAAAGCGACATAAAAGAAGATGAAGAAACCATTAGTCTCCCTGCTTCTGTTCCCCCACCAGCCCCATGCCGTGTTGAGGATCTCAAGTGCAGGGGCATAGGAAAAATTACTGACCCCCTGGGTGAGGGCCACACTACGCCCACCTTCCTTCACTGTGTCACCTGCCTCGTGTTTCAAGTTCTCTTCCACCTGATAGTCCAAATCCCATTCATCAGGGATTAGTGGGACGCAAGAAGAACATACTATTACCAGATGCATATTTTAACGAATGGAATTTTCACAATTGCTTTACATTGGTCAGTTTAAGATGGGAAAAAGCTGTTCAAGTTTCACTTGGTGACAGAAGTTGGGGCAATAAGAAACCTCTTAGGTCACCTCATCCATTCCTCTGCCAGCACCTCCTGTATATCATCTGAGCTGACTTTTTAAATGAAACAAATGCCACCGCTGCCCAGGAAAATCATTCTGTGGCCTCATAAAACGCCACCAGTAAAAAAACCTCCCCTGGTGTCCAGCTGAAATGCTCTTTTCCTGATTTGATCCCATTAGCTCTCAGCTAATCGGGCTGCCCCATAAAATGACTTCTTACCGTGCACGCATCTGGCACTCACCCCACTGCAGGAAGCTTAGAGCTGGACCTGGCGGGACGTGAACGGGGAGAGTGCTATCCCAACTGCCACCACCTGGGTAGAGTGGCTCTGAGACCCAGAAACATGGATGGAAGCTGCATATGCTCAGGATGGAATCAGGCTGGGCACAGGAGCCTCCAAGGAACCAGGCTGACTTCTCCAAAGTTAATTCTGCAACAGAGAGCCTCGCACTCCCCTGATGTCATGCAGCCAATGTGCCAGTTGGGGCTGGTGCGGCAGCGCTGCAGGGGAGCTTGTGAGAGATGCAGACTCGCAGAGCCCACTCTGCAGTGACCAAATTCACGTCTTTACTTTAACAGTGTCTCAAGGTCATCCCTGGACACAGCAAAATTTGAGAAATGCTGCAGAAAGCCCTCACTTTCAAACCTGACCGCAGAAGAATCACTTGTGGAGCTTAAAAAATTGTGAGTGCCTGGGTCCTGCCTCCAGAAATTTCCACTTAAATGGTCGGTGGCTGTGCATAGGGTTTTTCTGGTAATGTTCAGCAAAGGGTGGGAACCGCTGCTCCAAGCACCCCAGCCCCACAGGGCCTCCTGGAAGGCCGCTGCCCTCGCACATGCTCATCAGCCTCCTCGCAGCTCTCGCCAGGGTGCTGTGACACCTCGGACAGTGCAGGCCACCTTGCAGGGAAGCCTGGGGCGGGGACTGTGGGCTGGAACCCAGCTCCACCACCTTGGCACTAAACTTATCTTTACGACAAGGACGATAACGGCACCGGCACCTGGTGTGGGGACTAAACAAGAGACGCAAAAGGTGGCAGCTGAGCAGCGCTACTGCTCCCCTTCCATCTGAAGAACCACTAAACCAACACTGACACGTCTCCAGAGGGGGAGGGGGGCGGCTGGCTGTCGGCCAGCACAGAATTTCAACCAACTTTCAAAAGATGGGAAATGGCTGGAAGCCTGTTGGCATGTGAACAGGCTGGGGAAGCTACCATCCGCAAAATGCAAGTGAGGGCGCAGGAATGGGGTGTGATCAGGTCCTTCCAGAACACCTCAGAGAGCTTCTGGGCCAAGTCAGCAGGACCAGGAAGCGGCAGAGAGGTGGAGATGGAACCGCGGCATCGCCCACCAGCCCCTGTCCCACTCGACCCTGGTGGGGTTGCCAGTTCGGGCTGCCTGGCCTCAAAGTGCCTTCTCCCACTGCTACCAGTCTGACTTCTGTGTCTCCAGTGTGAAGCTACTGCTGAACTTGTCACCCGTTCTGAGGTGTATCTGTCCCTCGTAGATGAGAGCCCCTGGACAACAGGGACCCCCCTTTGCCGCCCTGCTAAGACCGCGAGCTGCACAGTCCACTCAAGCCGCGCTTCTTGAAGGAAAGTGGTTTTTCCTGATTTGCTTCCACCCTGATCCATGGTCTGCAAGCTTCTCTCGCGCCCAGATGATGGCTGCATCCTGAGGGCTACTTTCTCTCAAGTAACTACCCTCCATGTTCTTCTGGCCCTGCTACCCACATACACCACCCCTTTCAGAAACCCTTTCTAACCATTCCAAATGTAAAAGTTCAAAATAAAGGAATACTTAGCTGATCATCTCCCACAGTATGGCGTCTCCTCAGTGAGTTGCCCTCTACCCTTTGTCTGCTCCTGGGCCTCACCTGTTTAGAAACCTTAATTTATCATCATCAAAATGGAGAGGTTTTATCTTTTGCGACAGTTTCACGGTAACCAAGCTAGCAAGACTCATTTATAAACCAGGTGCCAGTTTGTGGCTGACTGAGCCTTTTTTGTGCCGGCGGGCCTTGCAGATGGGTTAGTGTGGCCATCGATGCACCCACCTCATCAGAGCTCCGGGAACATGCCCCCGCCTGCCTGCTTCTCTGATGGGCGCTGAGTTCACTGGGAGCCCCATGTGTCCACAGTGTGGGTGGGGCAGAGGCTGGGGGGTCCTACCAGGCAGAACTGTGGAGGGAGAAACACTCTGATGGAGTCCCCAAGCACCAAATTAACCAGTCTACACTGAATGTCCCTCTGTGTCTTTCATTCATTTTCCTCTCTGCTGGAATGCCCTTTCTTACTCACCTACTTGATATATGTTTACTCTTATTTTAGGACCCAACCAAAATGATACTGTTCTCATGCACTTTTCTTGAATCCTGCCGGCAGCTCTTTTGAACACCAAACACAGTCTGCTCATATTCCTATAACAGGACTACTTCTGTGCAAGGTACATAGAGCATTAAGATCTAAGGCTGTAGAGATAAATAAGGCATCATCGCTGCCTTTGGAGAACCAAAGATTAGTGAAGGAGGCAGGAATTTAAGCACAGTGAGTTTATGATTTAACCCAGATTTGGTCTCTGGAAAGGGTTTTGATAAGTAGTCTTTTTTGTGTGTGTGTCCAATTATAGCTATGTAACTCAGAGTACTTAGCTTGCAAGCCAAAGAAACTGAGTCTGACTGAGTTAAGCACAAAGGGACTCATTTAAATGTTCTAGATAAGCTTGCAAAAATCCCTGGGAGGAGTAGGACACCAGAGTTACAGGTGAATCAGCGGGAGTGACAGAAGTGGTAGGCTCTGCATCTCGGGCACCTGAGGCCACCCACTGGCCCCTGGATGCCGCAACCAGCCCCACTTCCCAGGAAGCAGCTGGGCTGCAGCAGCCACCACCCGATGGTTCCCTGGCGGCTCTGCCTCCCTGAGTGTTTGTACCTGTGGCAAGTTTGTCTGATGGTGGATCCTAAGTCAGCCAGCACCCAGGTTGCAAGGGAGATGGTCAGAGCAAGCACTTAGCATTTCAAACTTCGGCACTAGGAGGCAGGTTCTAGGGCCCATCGAGGCTCCTAGGGCCCCTATGAAAGTAACAAAATTCTTCAAAGACAGGAGACATGCCAGGCAGCCAGAAAAAACAAGAGGTGTCCATTATGATGAATGCCTCGTTAAGGAACCAGGCCGTTCAGAGGAAGCACAAAGTCATGACGTCATCCACCATCTACCTGAGAGCAAGGCCTGACAATCCCTTAGGTCAGGGTTGGGCTCGGGGGTGAGTAGGGAGAAATCTGAAGGTCTACCTTTCTCCTTCTTGAAAGGGACGTAGATAGAAATTCACCTAAGGGAAGAATGTAGAGGAGCCCTTGGAAGTGTTTAGTTTGACTGACTTCCTCCGCACGTTAAACTGGGGCCTTGAAAGCAAAGGGTCTACCCAGGGCACACCGCTGGTTAGGGGTCAAGCCCAAACACAACTGAAATCTCCAGCTGTCTGTCTAATTATCTTTCTATTAATTCGCTTTTTGAAAATGTTTACCCTCTAAATCACATCCAAAAGATTCTTGGCACAATACAGATTTCTATTCAGGTTGGCCTATGGCGAGTCAAAATGACATTAAGTAATCTGGTCCCTAATAACTACATTTAACTATAGAACTCTAAAATGTGTAATTAAATATTTCCCAGGAAATGTCCCAGATCCTCTAGGCAATCATTTTTACAAGACCAAACACAGCAGTTTAGGGTAATTTCATTGCCCATAATGCAGGTTGAGAACTTATTCAGCTATTTTGCTTTGCTCTGGCCCAGTAATGTCAATCTCCACACTCTCATTAGTACATTTGAGTGGTTCATTCTAGTTAAGGGTGAGATATAAAAAGCATGTTTGGGACAGTTTTCTTGCAACTAATGCTCCACACAGACAATTTGGGTGATAGATGGCATGTCCAAAGGCAGTATTAGACATTCGGGTTTCAATCTCTCCTTATGGGATCTTTAAAACTCAAGCTGTGAAACAGCAGCTGAAGCTTTATGTCCGGCCACTGCAGCCAAGACCACACAGAACGGAGTGGGTGTGCCTGCAGACTGTGGGGCGGGCTGCCGTGGGCTCAGGCCGGGTTTCTGTTAGTAGGTCACGCTCAGAAGTCCATAGCTCCTGTGTATTCTATAAGACCCTCAAAAAGAGCTGCCTCTTTGTAATTTGCAGCCAAATGGGCGGCACTTAGGAAGAAAGAAGCAAATGGTTACCAATGACTGGAAGCCAAAACAAGTGGAAAGGTCTGAGGCAAAGCAGAGTCTCCATGCAAGCAAGTATGAGGCAGGCACAAAGAGAGTCCTGGGCAGCGAGGCCAAAGCTCCCAGTGGGAAGGCTGTCCCCGTGGAGCCGGCAGGTAAGAGCTACCTAGGTGAGCGTGGCGAACACAAGTCATTCTAGGCAGGTGGCTAACCCACTGGATCTGACTGGGTCACAGGGTGACCGCAGGCTGAGGTGACCAGCCTCTGAGGGACGGCCTGTCAAGGTCATGAGTAGCACTCAGTTCTGATCCGTGCTTCCATAGCCTGTTGTCGGAGTACCCACTCAACTTCCCCTTGGTTCGTCTTTCTCTTCTTTGGAGTCTGAGCCCGTGCAGATGGCATTGGCATGTGCAGAGAGAACTGAACATTTTCCCAGGAAAAGTGGAAGTTATTGAATCCTTCTCAGAAAAGCTCCATGGGTAACAGAATAGGGATAGAAATGGAATGCTATTCAGAGAATTGTGTGTACATTTTAAGAGAGGTTCCCAGGTCCCTGGACCGTGTGATTTCCTAGAGCTATACTCTGATTTTCAAAAGGATACAGAAAACACAAGTCCCATACAAATATAAACACATGCCAAAGATTTATTCATCTCATTAATTAATGAGGAAGTCACTAAGATGTTCACACTGGTTCAAATGAGAATTGGAGGAGCTAGGTATTTATGGCAATTTACTAAAGGAATGTTAAAAGAAAAGTGGCAGGCTAGATACATAATTGATTAATATTCTGTAGGGCCATACAGCATAAACTTGAGGATATTTTTTCCCACTGGATGGAAATTACCTGCATCTCTTGGACCCGATAAAAAAATTCACACATTCATCTCTGCCCCCGTAGAGCTGTCATACAGCCCAGTTAACGGAAGCCAATCAAAGGTGCAAACCGAGTGCCACGTGGAAAAGATATCTGGTAATTATTTGTGCTTACTTCCAAATTTCAAATAATTTTTTCCCTATATATGTCACAAAATACTTAAGGTAAGAATAAGATGTGGAAACAAATGTCCCCATGCAGGGAGCTCCAAGAACAGCCTAGACAGCATTTGGCCAAGTTAAAAGAACAGATTGCTCAGTGGCACACGTATGGAAGGGTATTTCTTCCCTCCCTGGGGCACAAACTCCACAGGAATGCATTCTTTCACTAATCCTCTGGCAGATGAAGGGTTAAGTCAATCTTTTGCCCACATAGGATGAATACACTCATTTACATATCTAGGGGAAATTGCCCTATTCGTGTTTGTTTGTTAGTTTTCTGAGCTTTCCCAAAGGCCTTGGGTCATCTAACATCAAGAAGAAAGAAGTCACTGGGCTCCAAAACTCTGGCCTCTGGCCTTTTCTGGTGCCTGTAATACCTTATCCTTCAGAAGAGAAGTGTTCTCTCAGACACACGTCTCAGCATGATCTTTCATTTCAGACGGTGACCTTAGAAGTTGCATTTTTACTTAGTCTTGCACTGGAAGCTTGAAGAGACCCACTGATGTTCGCAGGAAATGGCGATGCGGGAAGAATTCTTTTGTATGATAACTGGTGTCCCCTGGTGTGCTAAATGGCTCCTGCCCAGCCCAGAGGAAGTTCGCTAGCCCCAGCTCAGGCGGCCTGCAGAAGCCGGGCCCTGCACTGCTCTGCTGAGGACCACCGGGCCCAAGTCCCACCTCGGTGGGAAACAACAGGCTCCCTGGGCCACGTGTACCCACCGGGGTCCATGGCTTTTCACACCGCTGCGGGATCTGCATTAGCGGGCGTGAAAGGAACCGCCCCCGAGTCACTGTCCCCCAGCCCAGACCCACGGCCAACTTTGTGGTCACACATCAAACAGTCTGAAATTTTTATACTCTAGGATTTTCTTTCTCTAGGAATGGGAAGAACTGACTGCATCAGCCAAATATGTTTATAGCCAGAATTTTCAGTAGAACAAAATGATTTCTAAGTCCTCATCACATTTAGATCAAGGCGCATTAGCATAACAGACTTCTAGGTCTAACTCAAGAACCTGGATGGTCAATTACAGTTTGTCATCATGGGACATGGCCTTTCCTTTAATTGAGGGCAAGGAACACAGAACTGGAGCTTCAAGTCCAAGGCCGCTGTGCAGAGGAAGCGCTCTCCCATCACTCCAAACAAAGCACGGACGGCTGGAAATAGTGCACGCGCTCCATGTGTTTCGAGATTTCAGTTTTCTAAGTGCCATAAGCCTACCTAATTTTACCGTGGGGCATCTGCGGGTATTTTTCTAACATGGAACAAAAACGTCAATATAGCTATCCAGTTAGCTGTGGAGGCTCTAATTTATAGCTTCAGTTTTGTTTTGTTTTTTTCTTTTTCTTAGCAAGTTAATACCATCTGCACTGTTTAAATGACCCTCTTCCTGTTTCCAAGTAGAAATTCAGACCTTATTTGTGGAGAACGTTAAAATGCTGGCAAATAATGCCTTGGTCTGGCATCCCCAGATCCCCCACTTAAATGGAAACCGGTGCCTTCCAGCTCATACAACCTTTGCCG